ATAAAAGGTGCAGACAACTATGGGTTTTCAAAATGGGAGAGGAGAGCATATTTAAGATTGAGATTAAGAAAGGCTTTAAGGAGTAGACAGCCTTTACAATGAGTGGTAGATAAGATTTTCTTTGATAGTAATTTTTATTACATAGCCTAGTACTTATAATATGTTGCTCATTTAAGATGGATGTCTGTTCATAAGTATAAAGCAATTTGAGCAACACTTGTTCATTATTACACTACAGAGGAAAAATCATTACATGCTGAATCAATTTCTTTTAAAATTTCAGAGAAGAGGCATACAATTATAGGTATTTGGTTTCTGTCAATTTTAAGACGTAATGTTTAAGAAGGATAAATCTACTTAACATACAATTACATTTCAATTGGTAATTTATTTAATGCTATTTTTCAAACATTTACCTTCCATGTCTTGACATTCACATGAAAGAATAGCACATCATTAACGATCCAAATGCAAATCAGAGTGAACTTAGGCCTTAGTTAAATATTGTATTATTTTAAAAGTTTACATAATTAAAAGCCAAAGACAAGCTGTTAAATGATAAATAGCTTACTCAGTTTTAGCATAATTTAAATTTAGAAATGGAATAGTGACATTAAAAAACCTTATGAAGCAGATAAACAATATACCTTTAGAAATATTAAGGATTTTTAGGGCTGGCCCGTGGCTCACTTGGGAGAATGTGGTGCTGACAACACCAAGTCAAGGGTTCGGATCCCCTTACCAGTCATCTTTAAAAAAAAAAAGAAATATTAAGGATTTTTGTTCTTTGTTTACATTTTTTAAAAATTAATTTAAAAAATTCAGGTCACATGGTTAATTCAGGTAACATGCTTCTTAAATATCTCGCTTTGTGTGTACAGAAATAAACTGTCATTATTATTCATAAATTCTTTGTTTTCCAAATAAAGCCTTTATTATTTTTATATGGCAAGAAGTTAATAGGTTTAAAATTAGTAGCACAAATTACATATGCAGAAGATGATAAACAAATTCAATGTTAGGTAAGGAATCAGAGTACAATAACAGCCATACAGAAGAGGTAGAATTGTTAATCACAGTTTTATATAGCAAAGATGCAGTAGTTTATAGCTGTACCCTGCTTTATTAGTTACGGTACTGAAACTTTGCTTCTCATTATGAATTTAACAGGGGAAATGGGAAGGCTCTTCTTAGGCAATGATCTTATTGACCCTTGTTCTGCAAGTGTTACAGGAGCTACTCCTGGACACCTGAAGCATTTACTTGGCCAATTAAGGTAATGGATCAATGTGGCATTTATCTCATTTTTTAAAAGCCTCAGAGTAGGGAAATCTGAGTTTCTATTCTTCTCCAAAGGGCCTAAGGAGGGGGAAACACATCTTTCTCTGCCACTGAGTGTAAATTTTAAGTGAAATCACTCTCCCTGGATATCATTATTGCTTATCAAGAATTCCAGCAGTACTAACTTATAGATGGGTACTATACCCAAATTTTTAAGTTGATTTTTTTCTAACTCACAATATATTTGTCATAAACAATATTTTTTCATGATGAAGTTAAATTACTAATACTTGAGTTAGACTCCATAGACTGCGATAAGCTAGGATGACAGAGACTTTTTATGAATATATGGGTTATTCATATATTGGGTGTTTATAACTTGGATCTCTGTGTTTCCAATCCTTACTAAAATGTCAATAAATAAAGTGATCAAAAAGGTCATTTTATGAAAGTTACAATAAAAATTGTAATAAATAATTACACCCAGTGCTAAACCTTACAGTAGGACTTACATTTCATAAAATGTACCTGAACACTTACAAAAGATAATTCAAAACAGAATAATTGTAAAAAAATAAAACCGGTAAGCAAATACAGTTTCTTCCAGTTAACTGGAAATTAATCTGCTATGATTTATATTAGAACTGGGATATCATGATAAGCCAATCAGATTCCAGATACTTATTTATAGTACTATTTAAGTGAACTTTATTTTGGATCAAGTATTCTCAAGTTTACCTAAGTTCTTTGTTATTGTTCTGATAATTTTGAGAACTCAGAAAAGGAGATATTTATGTGAGGCCCAGACCAGATTCTTTTAGCAATATTTCTTTCACAACTGCTGGTAATAATGTATTATCCAAGTCAGTAATCATATTAAAATTAATATAACACTATTGACATATATTATAAAAAATAAACTTATTTTACCTCACATTTAATTTTTAAATTCTGTACCTCAGTTAAGGGCTAGACAGAATGTGTCCTTATCTAGATTGAGCAACCTTTCTATATTCTTCACTGCAAAGGGAAAATGTGTCCTACCTTTAATGAGGAAAGTATAACTTTGCATTTTTAAGAATTATCAAAATGTCGGCTTTTGGGAATATAGGCTAAGTATATAAAACTAATACCTTTTGTTAATATTTACATTGAAATATATTTGGTTATAAAAATCTCAAACCTTGTTGTATTTCGAAGCTATGCTTCTGTTTAAAGGAGAAATGATATATACATAGAGAAAAGCTGAGCGTTTTTCTTCTAAGATATATTCAATCCATATTTGGGTAATTCTCAGATGATTTATAACAATATATTGAAAACTTCTACAATTAATTTGTAATTGCCACATTTATAAAGAAACTTCTGGGCAACAGAAACTTTTAAAAACAGACTGTTTGGTGTTTCATTAGGCCCAATGGTCATTTATTTAAATCTGTGACATTCACAAATTTTCCAGTTATTAATATGGCTTCATTCAATTAAACCTATATTCTGCAAAATATTCCTGTTATTTACTTAAGTACATCAGGATCAATAATATTACTTGCACAGAGTGAAGACTTTCCTTTCACATTAAAATTATACCTGTTTCACACTTATGATAATGCCTGGAAACATTTTGGAAAAGACTATTAATGGTCCTGACTGTAACAGTTTATTGCCTTTTTCTGCCTCTTACTTCAATGTTAAGTATTCTAGTTTGGAGTTTAAGTTCTACTTTTCCTCTTATCTTCAAATAGACTCTTCAGCATATAAACTTGAATGGCTGACACCACCACCATGACCACTAAATTAACCATAGACCAGAAATTGACTCTATCAAAGTTGCTTTCTTGTATGTTTCGATCACGAGCTTCAAATGCCCTAAGCAGAGTTTGGATATGACCACTTTTGCTTAGTCTGGATTTGATGCTGTTGATGGATTCCTGGAGATAAATAAAATAATTTTAATATAAAAGAGTGCTCAGAAATTTTAAGTTAATTTAAAAATGTGCTTCAAGTTTTTTTATCCAACCACAATTTTAAGATAGGTGCACAATTAAAGTAAGGGACAAGTACTGTTTACATTACCTAGAGTCTCCTCTGTAAGGTTATATAATAGTTCTCCTAGTATGTTTAAATTACTGTTTATAAATAGCTATTTAACAAAGGAACAAAGCTACTGTGAACTGAAAATAGGTAATATGAAACAGTGGCATAGAGCCAGGAATTTTATATGCATTTTAAAGTTTTTAAAAAACCCAATTGATGATAATCTTTTAGGTATTTACCTATTAGATAATACACTGTTATAATATTTCCTTCTTTGAATGTTAGTCTAGTCAATTTAGTATCTAGCAAAAATCCAATGTTTATCTCACAAAGTAGTGAAATTTAAAAAATACTTCGTTTTCATATGTGCATACTGTATAATCAAACTTTTGTATCTACAATACAAAAATGTTACAATATCACATTTAAAAAACAAGCTTACCAAAAGCATTCTAAGTTGCACATCTTCTGAAAAAAAAAACTTTTTATAATAGGGTCCTGGTAAGGTAAGTAATTTGAAGACCATACAAAGGCTTTATAAGTATAAGGTAAAATTAAGTTGAAATTTGAAATGTCAAAATACGGCAAAAGTAAGAAATACTAGAAACAGATTTTCCTGGATAATATGAATAAAATGCTTAGTTCAATGTAAGGCTTCTTGATATAAATAATTTTTATTTTATTAAAAGACCATACTCACCAGGATGTCTTCTAGTTTCATATCCAACATATCTGTGCCAGTAATATATTTCTTCCAGTCTTCCTGTTCTTGTGCTTGTTCTCCCATATTATCCAGGATTAATTCAAAGAAAATCACCTTCTCAGAAATGGTGCTGAATGTATTATCAAAGCAGAACATGTAGTCACCAACTTCAGTCTCTATACTGTATCAAAAAAAGTACATGTCTTTAGTTATCTGTACTTCTATTTGGGATCAAAGAAAAAACAACTAAAGGTAAAAAGAAGAAAACACATGGTTTATAATAATTGGACAGCACAGATTTCTTAGTACTGAGAGATAATCTAAGATTTCATAGGAAAGAGGCAGTCTGAAAATACATACAATCAAGTACTTGCAACTTAGATGTGCCTGGCATTTACTCAGTAAATTATGGTAAATGATCTAATTCTTGGAAAAGAATATGATTAAAAACCTAGATAACCCATAATAAACTTTAATATTTATAAATTATTATAAGTAATTTTATTCTAAGTTCAATTCATATTCAAGTATGACCACCAATCTACCCTTCAACTGAGATTAATCTGTAAATTGAGTTTTGTTTTCAAAAGCAGTGATGGATTGTTCGAAGTGCTTTCTTCCCGGCCTCAGACTGATTAAGTACATCTTCCTAATACAATTTACAAGGGTTAGAGATGAGGTCTGTGGCAACAACCAGAGCTTTACTCTAAGTGGCATTACCTTTACTGAATAAATGCCAATCACATCTAAACTGAACTTATGATCCTGGTCTCATTAATTTCACATTCAAGATAATTGGCCTGGGCATGGGTAATTTAGCAAAGTAGTTTTCTAATGATTTTTTGTGGAAAGAAACTTTAACAAGCCAAATATTCCACAGGCTAATGACATTTACTACTGCGGGCCCCAAACAAAGAAACAAACACCACTTCCTTGAATGAATGGCAAAACCGTTCTACATTTTTATAGTATATCAATGAAGTGCCTTGTCCTTATTCAGTTAATTATTTCACAAGAGACTGTTGATAACACTTTAAGAAACTGGTCAAAAACCAACTAAAACACTCTTGTAAGTGTACCAAGTTTATAAAATTACCCTGTGAGAACTACTGATTAAGTTGATAAATACATATGACAGTGCTTCAAAAAGTTAGTGGAATAATAGAATTGAAAGATAATATGAATCTTTCCATGTATTTTTTGAAGTACCTTCATATATGGTCTTTTATTCAGTCACAGAGCAATTGTAAACTACTAAGAATCTTTTATAAAAATTCATTTAGGGCTGGTTGGTTAGCTCAGTTATTTAGAGTGTAGTGTTGTAACACCAAGGTCAAAGGTTCAGATCCCCAAACTGGATAGCAGCCTCTCATTTAAATGAATTATACTTGTCCCACAGAAATCAATTTTCTTATTCTAATGATACTTCTAATAAAGGTTTTGATATGGCTAGTTTCCTAATTACTAAGATAAACTGACTTCTAAACCTCTCTGCATTTTAAACTGTTTTCCACTCATTTCTATTCAGTTTCTTAAGGGTGGCTTCCACTGGAATTGCAGTGAGGGTCTGGAGTCAGAGTTGCTCTGGGTTAGTATTCCTTATCCTTTGTAGTACAGCATTAGGTTGTTATAGCCCTCTAAAATCTTGAATTTCATCTTTTTTAAAGTGGATGTTAACTCACATTTACTTTTGTCTTAGAATATCTTATCTGTATTTCCCTTTGGATGACATGAAGCATTATGCAGTCATGCTTACCACAGGGAGGATCCAATTTATACTTTTCATGTCAAGATCTTCAGTGAAACCTGTCAGTTTGGGGGCAAGTGTCACATATCAAAGGATGCTGAGAGCTTACCGAAATTCAAGGCCTAAAACTGGGGCAAACTTCCTTCCAACTTTCCAGATTATGCCCTCAGCACTGCCTTGGAGTGAATACGTGTGAAGGTGATGAGGTTCAAGAAACCAGGAAGGAATTGTAAAATACTAAATTTTAAAAAAGGGATTTTGTGTGTGTATACCATATGTAGCATTGTGCACACAATCTACCACCTGCAGGCTTCTATCTTCTCTATGTGATCCAAGGACCCAAGGGCCAAGCTACAAAAAACTGTGGAGAGGGAATATGAGGTGACATGAGGGTATGAGCTGACATTGCAAAAGCAAATCTTTCTTACACCAAATGTGCCTTTCCTGCCAATGCCACATATTCAATTCAGCAAAGAAAACCTGAATTGTTCTTCTGCTCCAACCTGAGATCACTGAGATCATTGTTTTCTTTTTGGGCATGCCCTTTTAGATTCACTACCTTTGTCAACACAATATCCATTTAAAAATCTTCAGATCCTACTGTTTTGCTTCTCTCCAATCACTGTTATCTCTATTTTCCACCAATTCACTTTTATTTATGATGTATTGCCATGTAATGATTACTGACTTGACTTTTCACTTTTTTTTTTTAATGGTTCACACTATAAAAACACAGTTCAAACTTTCTGTTGTGACTATTCATGGAAGGTTGGTATAAATGACTTTGAAGTTCTTATTTCCAATGCACTGGATCACTAGATTTTCAGGAGGCTTGTATTTTCTATATCCTTCTGAATACAATATGTGATTCCTATCTTTTAAGCCAGTCTTCATCTTTTTTCTTATTTCCAACTTACTGTTTTTGTTTAAGCATAAAAGATAAATAGTACTGTGAATGGATTTTAACATATATACTACAAATGGTAATAGCCAATACTTGTAATACCCCTTCCTAATTTACACACTTATTTTCACCTATTTTATCTCTTTTAATCCTTCCAAATCACATTTGGAAGTAGGCAAAATTGGTTTTTTCAAGGTAAGTAAAATGAGGTTCAAGCAGGTTAAGATGCTTGCCCATGATCATATAGTCTGTTATAGGCATAGATGAAGCTTGGTTTTCTGACTCTCAATTCATCTTTCTAGAATACTGCTTAGGCATATCTGCATTCTTTGCAGTCTCCCCAATTATGACAAACCTTTGTCTTTTGAGGATGTATTTAACCTCTGGAAGGAGCCTGAGCAAACACTGGTGAATATAGTGGGAAGCAATTTTAAAAAGAAAAAAATAGGGGCTGGCTGGTTAGAGCTCAGTGTTGGTAACACCGAGGTCAATGGTTCAGATCCCTGAACACTGGTGAATATAGTGGGAAGCAATTTTAAAAAGAAAAAAATAGGGGCTGGCTGGTTAGCTTGGCTGGTTAGAGCTCAGTGTTGGTAACACCGAGGTCAATGGTTCAGATCCCTATACAAGCTAACTGCCAAAAACAAAACAAACAAAACCCCAAATGACATGAATATTAAGTAATATTAAATGCCCAGATGTGGGGCATTTCCTAAGGAAACCTTCCATCATATTCTGACTAATGTATCAGAGTCACTGTGACAGTAACTATAACTAGTAAACATGTCTATTCTGAAGGACAGCATTCCCTTAGACCAAGCATTCTCAATGGGGGTGGTATTGCTCAGAAAGGAGCGAAAAATTCTTAAGATATTATAATGGTTTGTGGCCCTCCAAAGCTCAATCCTACCTGACAAAATCTCGTTACCTAGAAATAGATTTCTCTCATTGGATTTTCTTGTGTATCTCACAAGCAGCACAAGTTCACGGAAGACAGAAAATGTATGCAAGAACAATGCTACTAAACAATGGTGAATTGATAGCTGTGACTGGAGGACTTTTGATTGATTCACTGATCTTGAAGTAGTATTGCAAGAGGTGGCTTACAACATGCCCTACTGACTGTCACTGGCTCCTTTGTGGATGTTTATGTCTCATCTTCAATGCTTTTTGAAGAATTAAATAAACTATATTTTATTATTTAATTCTACAAAGGTAATTCAACCCATCATTAATTATGCCAAGTGCTGAAAAAATTTCAACAATATCTGAATGACTAGTAGCTAGTTAAAATTAGTGCACCATATCAAGCTAAACTTTAAAGTTAATCTCACTAAAAATCATTTTTAAGGAATTAATGGTGGATTGGCACCCTTGTGTTCCTTCTCCTCCTCTTGGACAACAATAACAGCAACAAAAAATGAAATTAAGGTAATTTTTCAATCATTTTACTTTTAGTGGAAAAATAATTTGAATGATTTAAAAAATTTTAATTACATTGCTATTCTTATGTATTTATATAAATTGTTACTTTGCATGTATAATTGATACAATACTATATATAAACACATAAATTGCATTAAAAGTTACTCAGAAGGGCCGGCCCGGTGGCGCACTGGATAGTGCGCTGCTTGGGAAGCGCGGTGGCGCTCCCACCCGAGGGTTCGGATCCCACATACAGACCGGTTCCCGCTCACTGGCTGAGCGAGGCGCGGGAGCAACGCCGAGGGTTGCAATCCCGTTGCCGGTCCCCGGTCCGGTACGGGGGCAACACTGAGGGTTGCGATCCGTTGCCGGACACGGAAAAAGACAAAAGACAAAAAAAAGTTACTCAGAAAATAGTTATAAAGTTAAATTTAATGTTAATAGCTTTTTAATTTTTAATTTTGGTTTTAACTTTAGTCTTAATTTTATTAATTCAGCTTTAGCCATTCTTAACCCTGCATTGAGTAAAGAGAATAAACACTGTACCTACTCTTTTTTAAGCACAGATATACATATAGTACAGAAGTGGAAATGCAGTATATCTGTGGTATTAAAATTTCGTGGAGGGATGACTAGAAAAATAATGTCTACAAAGGTTCCAAGGAGAGGAAGAAGGTAAAAATGAAAAGAAGTTGAGAAACACTGATTCAGATATGAGTTTCAGCATGCATATAAAAAATAAAAATGCCTTAATACTTTACAGTCATTCTTATATTAATATCTTTCTAAGTCTGTGTCGACTGCTTTTAGTAGAAAGGAATTTTATTGCTAAAAATGATACAAAATATTATCCAAATAAGAATGCATAAAGTAAAATTTCCTTTCAAGTAGAACAAAGAGAGCTAGCCTAAATAGTCCAAGATGTGTAAGTTCTGGTGTTCATTAGGGTTATATTAATTCAGTAGTCTAGGAAAATGCATTTATATGTAACTCTTCATTCCAGGCAGTGCTAGACAAATAGATATTACTCAAGCTCTTTAGTGCTCTCTTTGGAGACATTTTTACTAAACCTGACTACTAGAAGGACAACATTTGTTTCAAAGATTATTTAAGGAAAAACCTATTTCAGTGTCATACTGAAATTTTAGTTGCCTTCACAAAATTAATATAGCTAAAAGTTTTGTTTAAATCTAATTCTTAGAAAGTAGATTTGTAAATTTGGTGTGGTGATTAAAGAGTGAGTTGAACTGCCTAGATTAAGATCCTGGCTTTGCTGTTCACCAGTTGTGTAACCTCCAACAACTTAACTAACTGTTCTATGCCTCAGTTTCCTCATTAGTAAAATTATTATTATGTACCTGAGGATTATAGTGAAGAATAAAAAAATTAATACATGAAAAGTACTTAGAACGCTGGCCTAGCACATCAAAAGTGTGTAATAAATGTGAACTTTATGAACAATTCTTTTATCCTAATGGTTTAATGAGAAGTAATTTTACGCAAGAAAGCAATTAGATACCTTTTCCCACTAACAGTTAATTCTAATTTATCTCAAAAGGAGAGCAAATAATTGGGGAGAAATAAAAAATTGGCAAACTTTGTACATTTTTTATATTCTGAAACAAAGAAGAACTACATACATTTAAAATTTTTGTTCATACACTTATTAAAGAAAAAACAATTCCACAAATATCAATCTAAACTGACTTTTAAAATGACTATTTCTCGGGCCGACCCCGTGGCTCACTTGGGCGAGTGCGGTGCTGGGAGTGCAGCTGCGGCGCTCCCGCCGCGGGTTCGGATCCTATATAGGGATGGCCGGTGAGCTCACTGGCTGAGCGTGGTGTGGGCAACACCAAG